GGGTTTGCAAAAAAAAAAAAAAAGAAACGTGAACCTGATTGGGTAATCCGTTTTGTTCTGACTTTAAAACCGATTTTTAAGAAAGAGTTTTTTATTTTTATTTTTTTAATTTTATAATCACAAATGGTCCATGAGGTTTGTCCAATCATCACCTTGGCCTTTTATGTTTTGTCCCCTTCTATTGAGGGATTCTTAAAATAATTTTATTTGAGGGACGCCCTTTAAAGTACCCTACAAATTTTTTCCCAATGATCCAAACCATATATTTTTAAGGTCTTCATTCATAGATTATCCTTACAAAAAATTAGACAAATCGGAAACCGTTTCGACATTCAATTGTGTCTTACAAAATCAATGAACACGATGCTTCAAAAAAGTACTAAAATTTATATAACTTAAATGAGTGGTCAAATGATATCGGATTCAAGTAATTTTTTGTAGAGATGATCTTTGAATGAGTATGTACAAAATAGAAGGTTTGGATTAGTGAAATACAATCTGGAGTGGGGCATACAAGAGATGTCCCTCAAATAAGCTTATTTGAGGGATCCCTCAATGGAAGCTCTCTGTTTAATAACATTATTGGTCCCTTATGTTTTTTTTCCTGATATTATTGGTCTTTTATGTTGCACCTCAACATCAATTTGGTCATGCCGTCAGATTCAGTCAAAATTTTTTGTTAGATTACTGACTTGGGCGCCACGTGGATTAACAATGTTTAATTTTTTTTAAAAAAAAAATATGAAAAACTGAAATGAAAAAAAAGTTTAGAAAACAAAAAAAGATAATCTATAAGTAGGAGCTAGGGATGGGTCTGATTGGTGCATAATTACATATCATTTTCTACTATTTTAGCTTTTGATTTCGTTATGTTTTTAGCTAAACTTGTACTTTTAATCTCTTTTGTGTTTGTTTCAATGTATTAAGCTTTGAGACTCATTTAATGCATTTTGGAGTCAACTTAGCTAAAAAATGTGTCTACAGATTAGTCAACTTCATGGATTGGACTGTACATCCTCAGGAAGAACCATATAATAAGCCATACATGATTGGCAAATTTTGGCATCTTAAGGTGGAATTTGGAAGCATCTGCGTTACTGTGCCGAAAATGACATTTGAAGACCTTTCCGATTTTTCCTTGAACTGGGCTACATATGGTTAGAAAGATAAGACAAAAAGCTTTAATATCCATATTTTTCCAAATTTTTCAGAATGGAGGAACAAGCCCAGAATGAGCCTACAAGCTGACTGCAATGCATTGTCATGCATGACATATGCATGAGCTAATTATTTTTGGTGGGGAAGTTAGGTAAAGTTGGTAAAGTGGGGTGTTGTAGGTAGAAGCAATACTCAATTCATATTTTTACTTCCCATAGGCCTATAAATAATGAGGTTCCCAAAGCTTACAAACACACATAAGGGGGGCAGCCCTCAAACACCTCTCTAGAGCTCCTCTCCCTTCTGTCCCTCAAATTCTCTTAGTTTTCTTTTTAGCTCTCAGTTGGGGTTGCACTAGGGCTTTCATTTCTATAGAAATTTTTTGGTTTATCTATGCGGCTATACAAGAACGATGATACGAATGTACTCTGCGAATTTATAGGACAAACTCAAAACATTTTTTAAAAATAATTCAAATAATTAATTAACTAATCGGGTTTAATTTAAATCATAGAGCCCAAGGCCCAAGGCCAACCTTTTGATTAATTAAGTGTATATATATATATATATATATATTAATTAACCATTGAACACATAATTCTCACATATTATTGAATAAAAATGATATATACTGGAAAAAAAAAAAAGGTATAGCCGGCCGGCCATACTCAGTTTTCCCATTAGTTGCTTTTTAAAAACATCGCCGTGCGGCTGTACTCTTTTAAAACTCGTTTGATGCGTGGTGCATAAGCGCTGGGCGGGTTTGTACAGGTACATATATAGTATAGCCGACCGGCTATACTACATTCTTTTTGAAATTATTTAAGAAAGAGTATAGCCACACGGCTATACTCATTTTCCTACGTTTTTTTTCAAAACTAGTATTTGACACGTGGCACTTAGGCCCTGGGCCCGCCCCTTTTTATATATTTAAATAGTATAGCCGTGCGGAAATACTTTTTAAAATGAAATTTTCATTTGGGAAATTTCATTTTTTACAAAATATTAAAAAAAATATAAAATTAGTTTCTTAACTTTTGTTTTTTGGCCTATTCTTTAATTTAATATATGTAACTAAGTAATATGTTAGCCTTTTTTAATTACTTTAATTAGTAATTATATTTTAAACAACAATTAGAATAATAAAATTAAATATGGTGTTCGCTTCACTAGGACACAACTTTCTAAATCATAGTCCTAGCACAAAGGCTTTCATTTCTAGCGAAATGTTTTGGTTTATCTATGTGGCTACACAAGAATGATGATATGAATGTTCTCTGCGAATTTATAGGACAAACTCAAAACATTTTTTAAAAATAATTCAAATAATTAATTAACTAATCAGGTTTAATTTAAATCACAAAGCCCAAGAGCACTAAGGCCCAAGGCCAACCTTTTGATTAATTAAGTGTGTGTGTGTGTATATATATATATTAATTAACCATTCAACACATAATTCTCACATATTATTGAATAAAAATGATATATACTAAAGAAAAAAAGTAGTATAGCCGGTCGGCTATACTCAGTTTTCCCCTTAATTGCTCTTAAAAATAGTATAGCTTTTCGGCGGTACACTTTAAAAAAAAAAACCCAGTGCTACTCGTTTGACGCGTGACTCATAAGAGCTGGCCGGGTCTGTACACATACATATATAGTATCGCCGCTAGGCTATACTATATTCTTTTTCAAATTTTTTAAGAAATAGTATAGCCGTCCGGCTATACCCATTTTCCTACATTTTTTTCAAAATTAGTATTTGACACGTGGCACCTAGGCCTTGGGCCCGTCCCTTTATATATATATAAGGGACATTTTGGAAAAAGCAAAAGGAGAGAGAAAAATTTTAAAAGAAGCAAAAATGGACAAAAATGCCCTTATTTATTTTTAGATTTCCTAAGGAATCCAATACATTTGTATGTCTTTGATTTGAAAGTTGAGTAGTTTTTTTTGTCTTTTTTGAAAAAGCTTTGGCTTTTTCCAAAAGTGAATTTTTTTTTATGTCTAAAACCTTAAAAACCTTATATATAAATAGTATAGCCATGCGGCGATACTTTTTAAAATACAATTTTAATTTAGGAAATTTAATTTCAAATAAAATATTAAAATATTAAAAAATATAAAATTAGTTTCTTAACTTTTGTTTTTTGGCCGACTTCTTTAATTTAATATATGTAATTAAGTAATATGTTAGCCTTTTTTAATTACTTTAATTAGTAATTATATTTTAAATAATAATTAGAATAATGAAATTAAATATGGTGTTTGCTCCACTAGGATACAAATTTCTAAATCATAGCCCTAGCACTGGGGCTTTCATTTCTAGCGAAATGTTTTGGTTTATCTATGTGGCAATACAAGAATGATGATATGAATGTTCTCTGTGAATTTATAGGACAAACTCAAAATATTTTTTAAAAATAATTTAAATAATTAATTAACTAATCGGGTTTAATTTAAATCACAGAGCCTAAGAGCCCCAAGGCCCAAGGCTAACCTTTTGATTAATTAAGTGTGTGTATATATATATACACACACACACATATATATTAATTAACCATTGAACACATAATTTTCACATATTATTGAATAAAAATGACATATACAAAAAAAAAGAAATTTGTATAGCCGGCCGGCAATACTCAGTTTTCCCCTTAATTGCTTTTAAAAATCGTACAGCAGCGACTGTACTCTTTAAAAAAAAAAAACCAGTGTTACTCGTTTGACGCGTGGCTCATAAGCGCTGTCCGGGACTATACACATACATATATAGTATAGCCGCCCGGGTATACTATATTTTTAAAGAAATCATCTAGCCGTGCGGCTATACTCTTTCTCCTACTTTTAAAAAAAAGTAGTATTTGACACGTGGCACCTAAGCCCTTGGTCAGTCCCTTTGTATATATATAAATAGTATAGCGTTCGGCTATACTCTTCAAAATGAAAATTTCATTTACAAAATTTCATTTTTGAAAAAAATATATAATTGGTTTCTTAACTTTTGTTTTTTGGCCTACATTTTTAATTTCATATATGTAATTAAGTAATATGTTAGCCTTTTTTAATTACTTTAATTAGTAATTATATTTTAAACTACAATTAAAGTAATGAAATTAAATATGGCGTTTGCTCTATTAGGATACAACTTTCTAAATCAAAGTCCTAGCACTAGGGCTTTCATTTCTAGCAAAATTTTTTGGTTTATCTATGCAGCTATACAAGAATGATGATATGAATGTTCTCTGCGAATTTATAGGACAAACTCAAAACATTTTTTAAAAATAATTCAAATAATTAATTAACTAATCGGGTTTAATTTAAATCACAGAGCCCAAGAGCCCCAAGGCCCAAGGTACTTTCTTTCATGAACAAGTCTGCATCAATAAATGGAGGGGGGTTTTATTCTTTTTGTGGGGTTTTTACTCTTTCCTATGGTTTATCATATAGACAAAAAATGCTTTGATTGATTTCATATTTGCGGGTTGATGGTTTAGAAGAACTAACAAATGCTCCTTTACATTTGTGTATATGTTGTTTGGAAGTCAAGGAACTACTTTTATCATGTGCAGGAAATAAACTTTCAGTTTCCATAACTATAAGTCTTTCAAAATGAAAAATTAACTGAGGAGTTCAGGTACCACTGAAATAGATCCTTGTGTGTGTGTGTGTGTGTGTGTGTGGTAATGTCAGTGCATGTGTGAGCATGAGTATGTGTTTCCAGTATAATAGCTCCTTTATCTTGCTTTTTAGTGTAGAGTGTATCTAACCAACCCTTGATGCCCATTTTTCTGTCCACCTATTTGTTACCTCAAACTTTGTAAGTGTTGAACCTACGCTAAAGAATGCAGCTGAACTTTGGAGCAGAACCTGATTGTTTGGAATTCAAGTCATTGTTGGTGTTTATGATTTGCTTCAGTTCAAGTCATTGTTGGTGTTTATGATTTGCTTCAGTTCAAGTCATTGTTGGTGTTTATGATTTGCTTCAGTTCAAGTCATTGTTGGTGTTTATGATTTGCTTCAGTTCAAGTCATTGTTGGTGTTTATGATTTGCTTCAGTTCAAGTCATTGTTTTTGGAGTTTCGACCAAAAAAGTCATTTGGTTTTTTTTTGTTTTTTTTTTTTTTGTTGTGGAGAAGCAGTATTAGTGTTTTTCCCATCAACCACTTTCTATGCACATATATGATGATTTTTTATATTTCCTATAGCAGGATACAGATGCAGACTTCAAAGTTAACTGGAAACGCGTAGCTATAACAAGCACTTTTGGGTTTGCCTTTGTTGGACCAGTTGGCCATTTCTGGTTTGTTTTGCCTATCCAGTTTCTTTTCCTTCAGGTTGCCTGGTCTGATCTGTCTGCCAACTGTATGATAGAAATAAATAAAAATAAAAAGTATAACATTGCATGTTTATAGGTACGAAGGCTTGGACAAATTTATAAAGCTGAAGCTTCACCTACAACCTAAGTCAGCGCGGTTTGTTGCTGCTAAAGTGGCAATGGATGGCCTTATCTTTGGCCCTTTGGATTTGTTGGTGTTTTTCACTTACATGGGATTTTCCACTGGCAAGAATTCTGTTCAAGTGAAGGAAGATTTGAAGAGAGATTTCCTGCCAGCCCTTGCTTTGGAGGGTGGTGTGTGGCCAATTGTTCAGATTGCAAATTTCCGATATGTTCCTGTGAGGTACCAACTCCTCTATGTTAATGTCTTCTGCCTGTTGGACAGTGCATTTTTGTCATGGGTCGAGCAACAAAAGGATGCTGCTTGGAAGCAGTGGTTCACATCTTTTACTTCTTTTAAGGAAGGAGGAGGTCAGGGAAGATTATGATTATCTTCTTCCCCACTTTTGCATTCTTTCTTTCTCTTCGTTTTACAGTACTGCAAATGGGAAAGAAAAAAAAAAAGGCATGTGTTTTAAGATACAGAGAATCATGAGCCCTCCTTAGACTACCAACCTGCGTTTTCAATGTTGGGGTTATGGTAGTGATGTAATTGTTTTCCAGTTGTATGTGTTTAGCAACATTTATTAAACGAAATGAAAAACACAGTTTAAATTTTGAATTTGATACGCCATTTTTCATGGATATCTAAATGGTCTTTGACATTTCTGCACAAGGCCAACCGAGTAATGAGAGATGCCTCATGTCACAAGCACCATGAACTGGACTATGAGCTTCGAAATTACAGTTTGTGCTGATGGTTATCTGGAAGATGAACTGAATAATGTGGTGCTTTAAAAACAACTTTGGAGTAGGCAACCTCAATATTAGCATTATACACGATGTTTTCCGTACTGGAAAGTTTGGGGTTTGAAGCTGGGTTTTTTTTATTTTATTTTATTGGTGGGTGGGTCAAGAAGCTGGGTTCAATACATGTAACCTAGTTTGCAAACTGCAACATAATCTAAAGATAGTACAAAATTGTGCGGACATCCAGGTTGTAGAGAATGGGTGGACCCGCTGATTCGAAACTATGGCGACTAGATGAACGAACTATGACCTCCGCCGAGTGGTACTTTTGGCTTGAATGTCGCAGATACCATTAAGCATGGGCAGTGTTTGAAGCCAATGCTCTGAAAGGCAAAATAAGGATTGTTACTTTTCAGGAAAAAGGTTAGATAACTAGGGACTACAATATCCGATTTGAACATACAAAAACTTACTGGGATGCTTAGCAGTAGTCCTTGACTATTCACTAGGACAGGCAGACCTCTTCTTGCAGCCAGAGGGATAGACTTCAGGGATACAAGAGCTCTTTGTGCTGAGAGCCTTGCATAATCTGGACATTCGTTTGTCTTCTCTTCTGTTTGCTCTACCCTACTATCTAAACAATGTTTCTGTTCTTGAAAGTTTTCTGAAGTTCGACTCTTCGACAAGTTGGCAAGATACAGCCAATCTGGTTCAGTCATGTTCCGCACCTCAACCATCATGTCATGACCAAATACACAAGATCTGCAACAGCCCCGACTTTGTCCTTCCGAAACTCCATCACTATTAGCTTCCTCAGAAGTTGCATTTTCAGGAACTTCCTCACTCAGTTTCCATGTGACAAAGAACCGGTTCATGAAGCAACATATTTCCCCAGGGTGAAGTGGTTTACTCCTTGATGTACTAACAGATTTGACTCCATGCTCTGACTTGTAGTCAGCTGCGACTTTGCCCTTAGACTTGAAATTCTGAATCTCTTCCTTCTGCAATAAAAGAATATTTGAAAGGGTTGACTCACTAAGCATACCAAGATTCCTGGCTCCAGTTAGAACTGATTCAGAAGTTCCTTCCAAGAAATGCACATCAGATGCATCTGGAATTAAGGAATCTGCATATGATTTGCCATCTGCTATAATTTTCTCAATCTCATCTAAAGTACAGTTTTCCTGTTCTGCCTGAAAATGTAGATGGGATGATTCCATTTTTGAAGGTAGAGGACAATCGACAGAAGAACAAACTAGAGCTTTCATGCCTCTAGACCCAGGAGCTGGAGAAAGGTAGCAGCCAGCTGCTGTAAGGGAGGTCTGCATGATTGATAAAACAGAACGATAATTCAATGAAACTATAAGTAATACCAAATACAGCTACTTGGACTTTGAAAAGGCTAACTTTTCATGTTACAGTAGTATTCGTACCTTGCACGGTAAAGTATGCATGTAGTCCAAAAGCAATTTTGAAGTACTACCTCTAATTGGCCTGTTCCTTTGTGAGATGAACTGCAAACAGAATGAATCTCAGCATAAACATAATTCATCTGAAAGATATACGTTTCTAAGAAAAATAACTATAACATCAAACAACTTGTATGGTAATAATTGTAGTACCTTCAAAACCAAGGCAATAAACTTTGACAGGCATATGTCCTCGATTTTTGATTCATTAAGAATCTCTAAATCAATAACAGCATATCCCAGCTGCAGGCACAATATCAAATGAAATGTCTTAAACATATTCAGAAATCTTTACACTATAGTCAAACGAGAAGTTGGCTATAATAGTTATATGGACACTCAAATGATGCTTACATCCATAAGAGTCACTGCTTTGCTTATCAGATTACTACAAATATAATCAATGTATATGCGTGTTTTGCGACAGGCAGAAATAACTGCTTGCAGCTCCAACTTGAACGCACCTAGAAAAAGAAAAAAAAAACATTGGTAGTCAGTAATTGTTATGGCAGTGTTTGCAAACAAGATAAATGGCAATAACATTTTTGCATAGGGAAACTATACGTACAGCACTACTATGAAGTTAACAAAACATGCAAGAGAAGATAAAAGCCTTTACCACCCAATTATAAGGACTAAACTACAACAATTGAAATTATGTTTAAAACTCACTTGATGATGAGTCCCTTAGAGACATTCGAATTCTATTACGAGCATATAACAGGCTTTGATTCGTTGGGTCTTCCACCCAGACCTGATTGCTTCCTTCACACATCTAGAAAAATTATGAAATAAATTAACTCAGACTGGTTCCAAATACAATTTTTTTTAAACACACATTTAACAGATACTTCTCAGCTCCATTACACTGACCTCGTACATATCTTCTTTTGAAAGATCCAGGAGTGGTCGCACAACAAGGATACCGTAGTTTCCTGAAACTTCAGCATAGGAATGGGTATGTGTGGAGAAAATTTGAGACGTGAAAGGCATACCAGCAAGTCCAAGGACACCGCTATTACGAGATAGTCTGAGAACAAATAACTCAGCCTGCATTGGGTCTTAGCAATCATTATATATCTAGCATCTGTAACAAGCCTGGAAAGTTTATATCAATACAGAGGAAATAATACCATAATTCTTATAAATAAGCTGACACTTTCTTTCAGTTTTGTGATTACAAATATAAAGACTAAATGCATATCAGATACAGTACAAATAGATATGATCTTTTTTCATTTACTTATATATATATATTTCATATTATATTTCTGCATTTCCTCCTATCTTACTTTCTATAGCCCATCTAAGTGATGTGCGCGGTACATAGTTCATGATGCGGAACTCTTTTAGTTTTCTCTTTCATGTCTGGAAGTGGATTGGCCTCTTTATCGAAACAACTAATTTGTACATCCCTCACACATAACACACAGATATACAGCTGCAAAATGAGAGAAAGTTAAATTAAATGATTGTTGGACAGACCTGGTCATCAGCATGATGTGCAATAAGTAACACACCAATCCGGTTCTGGATGCAAATCTTCTGAAATATTTCATACCTGACATTCAAACCCAATTTAAACAAATTGCAAATGAAATAATGTACATCACCCAATTGAACCATAAATGTAATGAACCAATTATCAATATTCAAAACAGAAGTAACATCCCCAGTAGTAGGCATAGGGACTTTGGAAAATGAGAAGTAACCACCTCATGTCACGAGCTGCTTCTTGCAAATGACCTTGTTTCGGATGACCATACGGCCAATCACAACAGGCAATATGACTTCTGATTCCTACACAAAGTTCATATTGGCTTATCTACTTCCAGTCAAGTCTTAAACTGAAATTACTATGTTAAGCCGAAGGCACCGAAACAATATATCATGAGCAACACCGAAAAGTACCCATTTTAGAGACCCGATTAGAAACAGTGTTGGCTTCTTCTTTGCTCTCTGCACGCAGCCCATGGTCGACAATTATTGCCAAAAGCCCGTCAATGAAGCCACCACTATCACATTTCGCATCAAAGTCTTGAGCTTTCCAGTGGGCGGTCAAAACACATAAAGCCATACTGTCTGGACCTCCAGAGACCCCAATAGCTACATACAAAGCAGAAAACAAGCATCACAATCTCACTGGGATTTAATTGAACTCTCCAAGCTCACAAAACCAAAGAAAATGAAAAGATAAACAACACCGTTTTTGTTTTTCAAAAAGAAGCAAAATTTAGAGAGCAAAACAAGCGAAATTAAGCCCATAAAATGAAATACAAGATAAAGTAAGAATTGACCAATATGTTAACATGAAAAGAAAAACACAGAAAAGTTGCAGAGAAGAAGAGGAACAAAGTGAGTACAGACCGACTCGGTGGTGGGGCTTGAGGCCAGCCATGGCCATTCGTCTAGAGAAAGCTTCCTTGTACTTGGCCATGTCGACTGCGACGACTGGGGCTTGGGTTGACGAGCACTTGCAGGAAACTTGACGGGACATGAATGGGAGTTTCCATGCTGTTAGGGGTATTTTTGGAATGGCAAAAAGTAAGGTTTGGGTACTGGTTTGCGATGGTAAGATTACCCCTCGCGCCATTTCCAAGCTTCAAGCTTTGAGTGGATTGCTCTGTTTTTAACTGATAGCGTTGAGATGGAGAAGGGATTATACAGAGCCGTTGTCGTGAGGTGCGAACGCAACGTTTAATGAAAGCAACAAAATGCCAAAAAAACTTTTTGTCCTGTGGTTTATCCGTTTTATCACTTTAATCCCCGTATTTTCAATTTTAACCTTACAATGCGTTTTGGATTAGGGAAATAAATTTGGAATTTTGACGAAAGTCAGAATTCCCATGTTTTGAAATAAAAAAAACATAGAAATTTATAAATTCTGCGTGAAAAAAAATATGAAATTTGGAGGTCATAAATTTCAACTTTAAATTCCATTTAAAAGTTATCATTTCTAAAATTTCAAAAGAAATTGAGGTTTAAAAAAAGATAACTTTACAAATAAAAGTTAAACTTTGTATTTAAATCCATCAACCTCAGTCATTAAAGCTACAACCTCTTTCTCTCTCTTAAGGACTGGTAAGTTGACTTTGCTCTTCAAATATTTAATTTTATTTTGGAAAAACAAAACCTATCTTGAAAATGTTAAAAACATGTTATTTATTTATTTTCATATAATAAATACATAGACATTTTTCATATTTTTCATTCTTTTTCATGATATTGCATTAACTGAATTGAAGAGTACGTTGGGACAAAAATTATTTAAGTAGAAATAAGGCTTTTCAAATTACCACGTAGGTTAACAAACTTCAATTTAATAAATTTTATTTGCTACTACTATTAAAAATGCTCTAACGTAGAAACTCGGGTAGAGAAAATGAACTGCAGGTACAAATTGGACTGGGCATAGAAACTCGGGTAGTGACAATATTAGATGGGCCAGATGGGCTTTAACAAGATTTTAAAAAATATATTTATTTTTGTACTATTTTATAAAATTAAAATCTGATAAATTTGAGCCATAAAAAGACTTTATTATTATTATTATTATTTTTATATAGAGAAGAAAAGACAAGTCAGCCAAAAAATGAAAGAAGGACAAGTTAAACTGAAAGATTAAACAGTGATTCTCCGGACCGACCCGCATTTTCTCCGATGCGAGAGCTTTCCCGCCAAATCAATGAAGCGTCAACGCCAATCTTCTTAGCTCCGTCGTCGCCATGACCACTTCTCCTCGTACCTCCACTCCATCGCTCTCCCTCGTCTTCATCTTCATCTCCATCTTTGTCTCGATCTCCATCTCTCTCCTCCATTTCAAGACCCAAATTTCCCCAACCCTAGACCTAAACCGTGGTACCCTAAATTCCTCGCATCCTCAAACCAACCGCCAAAACTACGTCGTTCGATTTTCCGAATACAAAAGGGCGGAAGAGCACCGTGAGTATTTGAAATTGAGTGTTCGATCCGACGGATGGGATTGGATCGAGAGGAACAACCCGGCCAAGAAGTACCCTACAGATTTTGGATTGGTTTGGATTGAAGACTCGGCGAAAGAAATAGTAGTTTCGGAAATTGGGAAGTTGGGGCTGGTGAAGGATGTCAATGCGGATATGAGGTATGGGAGGGGTTTGCTTGCAGAGGGAAAAAGAGACAAAGTTGGGGCTTTTGTCAATGGAAAGAAGCGGCCGGGGAAAATTTTAACGGCGATGTCCTTTAGCGAAGCCGGCGGCGATACACATTTTACGGCCACAAGTAATTATTCGATTAGGTGGAGAAGGCAGCTAATGGCTCAGGTGGGTTTTGGTGCATTTGTATGAAACCAAAAGAACTTCCTGCGCAATTCATGCGTTTCTGTTTTTATGACCAGAAATTGTTTCTTGATTTCCATTTCAATTGAGGAACAGGAAGGAGATTGAAGTTGGGATTCGTATATTTTTCTATGGGTGTTTATCCTATTTTGTGGGAAAGGTTTATCTTGGCTTAGCTACAAGTCTTTCCTAATTGGGTTTAATGTGTGTGTGTGTGTGTGTGTGTGTGTGTGTGTGTGTGTGTGTGTGTGTGTGTGTGTGTGTGTGTGTGTGTGTGTGTGTGTGTGTGTGTGTGTGTGTGTGTGTGTGTGTGTGTGTGTGTGTGTGTGTGTGTGTGTGTGTGTGTGTGTGTGTGTGTGTGTGTGTGTGTGTGTGTGTGTGTGTGTGTGTGTGTGTGTGTGTGTGTGTGTGTGTGTGTGTGTGTGTGTGTGTGTGTGTGTGTGTGTGTGTGTGTGTGTGTGTG